AACATTTAAGGCAACCTTGTTGGAAGTCAGGTTAGAAGTTTTACTTCAATTATTTTATAGATTATTTATTTATTATTGTTTTCTTAAATATGACAAAAAATTAGCTTTAATTAAGGACTCTACTGACGAACAAACTTGATCATGTATTTATCAAATAAGAAAGACACGTTGAAACAAGGACTGAAGGAACTCTACTAACGAGCAAACTAAATAAATGCAAGATTAATACAACAATTTCACTTACAATATTTTTGTCAATACAATATTATAGATAATTTAATTTAGCACAATTTTGTCGAATATTTGGTTCATTTGGACGAACGGTTCAAAAGTTACAAAAGATGCAATAAAAAGTAAACCAATGGGTTGCAGAACTCGGGGTCCAGTATAAGCTTAGAAGTTTTACTTCAAATATAGGCATGTTGGGTATCAAATGAAAGTCTCGACGAGCACTATCCAAAAAATCATACTTAAATACTCTAGAAACCTATAGGGTTCCGTATAAGGCATTTATTTAATTCGTAATGACAACTATCACATTCTTCAGGTACACCAAAGTGTTACAGATTAGTACATATTGTAGATTATTATATTTCGTACAATTTTGCCGAATATTGCGTTAAATTTGGACAAACGGTTTAAAAGTTACAAGAGATACAATAAAAAGTAAATTGGGTTGCAGAACTCGGAGTCAAATATGAGCTCAGAAGTTTTACTTCAAATATAGCATGTGGGGTATCAAATGAAAGGTCTCAATAAGCACTTATTAAAAATTATACTTAAACACTTAACAAAGCAACAGGGTTCCGTACAAAACACTTTTTTACTATCTAATCTCATTTATTTGTTTTCAAATACGATTTTAAAGTATACCGAGTTGCTGTGGAGCATATTGCGATATAGACAATATTATAGAATATTTAATTTATTACAAATTCACCGAATATTTCTTTTACTTTGGACTAACCGTTTAAAAGTTACGAGCGATACAATAAACAAATGCACCTTAAAGAAATTGCTGAACTATAAATAGTACAGCGGGTCAAATGCGAGTTAGAATTTTTTCAAATATAGTCATGTGGGGTATCAAATGAAAGGTCTCGACGAGCACTATCCAAAATCATATTTAAAAACTCTAGAAACCTATAGGGTTCGGTATTAATGTTAAATCCTAATTCTTATTCATTATTTACTCGTATTAGGAGTTCAAGCAACTTGCCTTAAGCCACTTACAACTATTTATATATATATATATATATAATATATATATATATATATATGTTTTACCTCACAATTGATGATATGCGTACGATATTTCTCTCTTAAGTCTATCAAAAAGTTATTTAAGCTTCCATTGAAAATTCCTTCTAAATCCGACATGCTGTATAAAAGTATGACTCCGGTGATTCTCCGGAATCTTTGGTTTCTACAATTCTTCACCAATTGTCGTTTTCCGGTGATGTGTTTAATTAAATTATCTTCTTGAGCCTTTCTACAGGCTGTTATATATTTCATCATTGATACTAGGTCTTCACGATTTTTCTAAAAAATAAGAAAAATATTTAATAATTGATTTTTGTTAAATAACAAGAGTAATTTGTTTGGAGTACTTTTTTAAATTTAGTTTATACATTAGTTAAATCGGTAAAAAACGTCTAGACTTATATATACAACAGTTGAGTTTTCTAAGTTATCTAAAATTAAATGTCTTCGATGCTCATTGAAGTATTTAACTTGATGATGCTTCTAATAGAAATAAAATTACTTACTGCATTTAATATGTAACAAAGTACCCATCGATACGAGACAATTTGTATCAACTTTCTTAGAATACTATTGTTATTGTTAATAAATAATTAACATAAAATTTACTGAATTTAATTTTGAACAATGTACCCAACTAACATGAAGTTGTACGCGGTTCGGTACTGTCAACTCTTGTTTTGACCGTTAACATTTAAATTTGAATTTGCTACATATTATTTGTCATTATTTATAATATTACATTTTTGAACAATTGCTCGCATATTTTAAGTATTAACTAATAAATAATATTAAGTATTAAAATATAGTATTGTTGTTATATTATAAGAATGTATAATAAATAAAGGTGTATATAAAAAAGTGCAACCGGTGAATCTAATAATACAAAATGCCATTTCAAAGTTTGCAAATATTTTGTAAATAATTTTGTTTGAAACGTGATGAAGTGTGGTATACAGAGTTGTAGACAATTCTATTAGCTTTTCAATGGT